CTTTCTTTTCTCAAAATTTCACGTTACGAACAACGTTCGAGTCAATTCGAGACAAGTTATATATATATATGTGTTGTAATTTTAACACTCGGTGTACGAGGATAACGAATCGAAATTTTTCCATAGAAGTCCAGAAAGTGGGGGAAAGAATGAAAGATTCACGAGGCGCGGAAAGAGAAAATTGTCTTTACCGGAAACGAGTATGATCGATGATACTAAGCAGCATGGCAAAGCGTCGTCGTTCAACAGTGCAAAGAATTCATTACTTTACCGCGTCGTTATTCCACCGGTGCGCCGGTGGGTTTTGATTAAGGTGTCGGAGGGTGACGAATTGTATAATGAGGATTTGATGCCCTGCGCGCTGGTAAGTAATTAGTCCACCGAGATTATTAATGTCTCGAAACTAACAATTTCATCACAGGGACCTTATTCCGAACGGCAATTCTCGCCTCTCCTCTTTGTCCATCTGTCACACGCAAGATCAAACTCAAATTATTATACACCGGCCAGAATATTTCTTTCGAATTCCTCGAGTTCTTCGACTCGCTCGTTCCTCAACGAAATCGAACGGATAATTCTCGTCCTTCTTCGTTATCGATTTTTCGAACGAGCACGAAAGAACGAGCTTCTTTCTTCTCTCTGAAAAGAAAGTTCAAACGCTTGAACTTTGGAAAACTTGTGTGATCGTGACGGGGAAGAAGGGGCCTTCTTGAACACTTTCTCTCTTTCCATCCTCAGCAAAAAGGTAAAACAAAGAACGAAACTCTCCTCACTTTTCGAAGAATCCGTAACGCGAATTTTTAGAAAACTTGTCATCGAGGAGGATCGAGATTGGGCCGTCAAGGAGGGCGTCGAGAAAGGAGGAGAGAAAAAGCGAGCGAAACGCAACACGGGAATAAGATCGACGCGGAGGAGGTTAATTACCGAGGCTCGTCGCTTTGGACCTTTTATGGGATCTACGGAGAATGGCGAGGAACGGGGGAGAGGAAGAGAGAGAGAGAGAGGTAAGAGTCGGTAAAAAAGCGAAAGAGGCGCAACCCCGAACGATCCGCTATCTGAATCTCCTGCAACGTTCGCCACCTCTTCCTTTTCTTCTTCTTCTTCTTCTTCTTCTTCTCCGTCCATTTCTCCTCTCACTTTTGTATTTTTCTTCTACTTCTCCTACCTCCCTCCTCCCTCCTTGTTTCTCGCCTTCTTGTTGCCAGCTAACCGAGGACGCACCAACCACGTGCCCGTTTGAAAAATCGGCGCGTTTACCGGCAGGCTAATTAATTTACATAGGGGAACGATTCTCCTTTTTCCTTTCCTAGTAGACTCCGCAGCGGGATCCGAGTGTGGGAAATGGACGATAGCACTCGGTTTCTTGGGAACCGGCGTCTTTACCCGCTCGATACGCATTCTCTCGTTCAAACAAAAATAGTATTGATGCATTCGTGGAACATAATTTCGACTCTTATTACGTATTTCTACTTCTATCATCGTAGAAACTGAAACCGAAAACACACAAAAGTAGACACGCAACGGGACGAACCCTCGATCCGTTCCAAATATATCCTTGTCAGTCACAAGAGGCCGAATGAAAAGTTCGATGAAACCAACTTACCATTAGATTATCCGATCAATACGATTCAAATCTACTTCTTAATATCGCGCTACGAAATCGCAAAATTTCTTTCGAATACGTTTTCGAGGTGTCAGGGTTCAGATTTTTCGCAATTAGCCTTCCCCACGGTGAGAAGAGAGAGAGGGAGGGAGAGGGAGAGAGGGGCGGTGGTCAGGTGAGGCAGCGGTAATGCACAAGAACTCCCAGGTATCGGGGCATCGGGCGACGACACTCACCCGGGAGTCTTCGGAAAAGATCCGAGGGCCGACAATGAATACCTATTAAAACGGTGTGAACAATGGCCGGGGTTGGGCCGTGGACCCCGGGCTCGGGATCGGTGGCCGGTAGCAACAAGAGCGCTAAGTAGAGGCCGGCCAACCTCTCTTGTGGCCCGCAGGTGATATACTGCGAGATCCGCGATATCGGGACGTCGCCTCTCCTCCCTCTCCCTCTCCGCGCGCCCCTACACCAACGCAACGCTCTCCGCGCGTCGCATTCCTTCGCACCCTCCCCTCCTCCCTTCCCATTCCCCCCTCCTCTCCCCCCCCCCCCGCGATCCGGATTCGTGTCCATTACCTCGGATACGCCGCGACCCACGCGTCGCTCTCGTTTCCTCAGGGGGTGGCGAACCTCGACAACTTGTGACCTCCGCCCGTCTTTCTTCTTAGAAATCTTAGAGACGGAGATCGAGGAAAAACGGGTTTTTGAAAATTGAAACGAATTTCTAATTAATTTCGAGGATAAAAAGTCACATCCTTTGGATTGATCTCGTCGCGGTGAACTCCTACGAGTAAATTATTGTTTAAGGATTAGGGAAATCGATACAGAAAATATTAAAATGTAAAAGTTACGTACAAGTTGATTTCGCGCGTGAAGTTATTTTTTAAGTTGAATCGTTTGGTTACAGATCGATCTGTTCGAAAATTTCCTACATTTTCTGGCAGCATCTTGCCAATACTGAGAGCACCGGTTCAAAAACAAATTGATCGATGCGAATCGAGGAAAAAGAAAGAAAGAATTCGAGCTCGACTTGTGATCGATCGAGGGAAGGAAAGGAAGAGGCGTTCAGGACACCGGGTTATCATCGGGACTTTCCTCGCGGGGGAGGGTAAGGAGGGCTTTCGTGGCCAGGTTCGCAGTACTTAACGGCGTTAAATCGATAAAAGTGTAGAAGCCGCATTACGAGGGTTTCGTGTGGGCACACTTAGAGGCCGCGCACGTTCGTCGTGAGAGATTGGAGAGTTGCCTTCTCGAAGACCGGGGGAGGAAGATAATGGACGGGAAGAAAGAGGAACGTCTACCCATTATTCCGCGCCGATTCTTCGATTGGCCCCCACCTGATTGCGATTGCAGATGAGATTGCACACCCGTGGCGCAGGGAGCACCACCGATTGCAGTTGCATAATTCTGCCTCCCTCCCTTTCTCTCTCTCTCTCTCTCTTTTCTTTCCGTTTGTCGTTTCTCTCCTTTCCATCTTCTTTGCTCGATTTGAAGTAATTCTTTTTTCCTCTCGATTCAAAGAGAAAATTAAATTTAATCGATTACCGACATTATTATTTATTACGAGGATTGCCCTTGCTCTTGTTAAAGCCGCCAACTTTTTCTCAAATACGTACCGATAAGCGGGCTAACCTTGAATATCGTAATCTTAAACAGTCACGCCACCAGCGATCCCGGTGGTGAAAACCGAAAATTGGGTCACGTTGATGCGAAACGATTTATCTCGCGGCTCCTTTATATTAAACGAATCGATGCTCAACAATTGGAACGAATCGATGGGATAAGTCGAGAAATCGTCGAAATCGAATTTAAGGATTCGAGAATTATATGTATATAAGAAATATTTTTGATATAGTTCCGTTGTAACGTGGCCAACATGGTATCTGGGCTGACCTAAAATTTAAAAATGTCATAGCCGCGCCGATATCTTGACTAATTATGAATAAGCAAATGCAAATGGGCCAGGCAATGTTACGATTCGGCGTCACGAACGGATTATAAACTCTTCTTTTGTAAAAGAAATTACAACCTTCCGGCAAATGAGCGCCGCGAGTTTCTCGTAATAACTAGGGCTTATCTTTTTACGACGGATTTTCAGGCTATTGATTGGCAAACCCTTGCCTGCCCACCCCTCGTAGCACGGGGCTCGTTCCTCCTCGCTTTTTCGTCTATCCGGGGACCGTTCGAAATCGATATGGAAATTTTTCCTTCCTCCGTTTAATTCCGTTTAGTCGGCCACTTTTACCACTTTTATCCAATGTTATCCCCCTCCTCCATTTTCTTTCCTTTTTTCTTTTTCTTTTTTTTTTTTTTTTTTCTTTTACGATTCGTTGCTAATTCTTGCAACGATATTATTACTTGAACGGCGTCAAAAGTGGTCGTAAATCTTAAATTAGAAACGAGAAATGATGGATGTTTCGAGAAATGTATGGAAGTATGCAGGTTGTTTCTAATTAAGATTAATTAGATGAATTTTATTCGGTTCGATGAATAATTAAAGGGTAAATGTGTATTTTTCTTTAATTAAAACGAAACGGCGATACGAGATCTTTTCCCTCGCCGTTCTCTCTCGCGTGCTACTCGAGATCAATCTGATCCCGTGATTCGAAAATTGAAGATTGATCAAGTAAGTGAATTATAATTATCGACATATATTAGAAATGGTAAATTATACTATAAATTATTAATTAGGAAGGATCGTAGAAGTTTGTAGATTGCGATCTGCGCGTTAATAAAGAAAAGGAAATAAAATATAAATAGAAATCATAAAGATCCGGCGTACGTAACTTGGATCTTAGAAAATTGTTCCAATACTAAAAAAAAAGAAATTCCTTTTTTAAATACCTACTCTAAATTTCCAAATCTCGAACGATCTTGCTCGTCGAACGTTGTTCCGTTTCTCAAATAAACAATACAATACTCGATAATTTGGATAATTTTAATCGTCGACAAATTAAACTAGAAGAATCTAGATATTCTTCCTGTTCCCTTTCCCGTTAAAAAGAAAAGGAAAAGAGAGAGAGAGAAATGGTAGAAGCATGCATCATCTGCATAGACTGGAGAGACCACTTCCTCCGCAACATCTTGCACAATGCACGATAATCCAACAATGGTGGCCAAGAAACGCGTGGATCACAATGGTTGCTTCGAGAAGTTTGACGGTGAGCAGACGAATTGCCGTATCGCGGAAGAACCGCCGCCCATTGTTTTTGAATCTTATTGTTTCCTCGGGAGACAGAGTAACGACAGCCTCGCGTGTCCATTCGCGAGGATATTCGAGGATGCTGATCTATCTCTCATCTAATAATTGATAATATACCCATCCGACTCTTTCCTTCCAATTCAACGAATTTAATTATTCGTAAAAATTGGTATTGAAGATCGAAAATCAACCTACCTTGAAAATAGCTCTTCGTCCGAAGGTAGCTGACGCTGAGTCTGAGGATGCTGAGTCTGTCCAGCTTGCTGAGGATATTTTGCTCGAACGGGAGCAACGAGGCCAAAGTGTCCAACTCGGCGTTCAATCGCTCCCGATGTCGCTTGCTGGGATTCGATTTTGTCACCCCATCCTTCTGCGGTGGTTTCAAGCTGTAAGATCGAAGCGAGATGCCGTATATTTATATAATATCCTTTCGAAAATTCTCGACGATAAGTTTCAAGATATAAAAAGAAAAAAAAAAAAATTAAAAGAATAGAAAAGAAAGGAAAATAAAAAAAAAAAGAACGGAGATAATCGTTCAACCTTCGAATTCCTGGTTACAGGAATTCCTCGGCCACCTTCGAGGCTCGAACAACAGGCGGCCTACGAAGCGAAAACGATCTCGATAATTAAAGGCGACCACTGTTCGAGGGTTGATTGACACGCGAGGAAACCCTGCGGACCGATATGCCCACTCAACGATTACGAATTCTTCGGGATAAGTATAGTTATTACTTAAGTATTTCTCCCATCTGCACTCCCTTTCCATTCCTTTTTCCCCTCCTTTTTCTTTTTTTTTTCGTTTCTTCACAATTCCACCACGTTTTCTCTTATGTACCTCTTGTCTCCTTTTCTCCTTTCTCGGCTCCCTCTCCCCCAGGTTTATTCCCAGGAACGGGGCATAAAATGTATGAATTGTAATTATGACGAGTGTAGAAGTTGACTACCGAACCACGTGGTGGTCGGTATCATCGTGCTCATTGGCGTAACCGCTACATTTTGTTCGTGCGATTTATAACATTCTGGAGAGTGATGCTTAAAGGTACGACGAAAAAAAAAAAATGAATTGACAAAATAAATTTCGAACGATTCTAGGGAAATTGAAAGAAAAAGAAAGATAAAAGAAAATCTCGTAGACAGATTTTTCAGAAAGTTGCATCGAATGAAACGAATGTTCTTTGCCGATATTACACGATTTATATTCCATGAAATTATCGAACGACACGTCAATGCTCGTTTTTACGTTTTTACGTGGATACAAGGTTACCGAGTACATATACGAATCGCTTATTTAATTGAACCGTTCACCATGGAATTGAGATTCCATGGCGGACAAATATGGAATCATGACGTTTTTGCATTTCAGGTAAACAATTTAAATGACCCAACTTTATATATATACCTTTTTAAACGGAACTTTTATCATCGCATCTTTCAACTCGAAATAATTGCAATTTTTATTCTTTAATTATGATACTCGCATCATACAAAGATGATACAATGATCGTACAACGATGATATTTTTCACTACTCTCTCTCTCTCTCTCTCTCCATCTATCTATCTATATATATATATATTATTCCATCGTTCAATTTCAAAAAAGTGAAATCTCTCTCGCTCGAGAGAGAATTTGAAACGAAACTTCGACTCGACGACGTTTTATCTATTTCCTCTCCCTTCAAGATTAAATTGTTGCCCGTGATATTTACGCGGGCGAGTCGCAACGAGGCGAAAAAAGGGAAAAAGGGGGAGAGAAGCGTGTGTGGAAATAGGAAAGGAAAGAAAGGAACGTGGAAGGAAAAACGGCGATGGCCTTAATTAAAATGCTTAGGGGTTAGAAAGCGTGATGAATGAGATTGGCGGCCGTGGCGCGCGATGGGCAGCAGCGGGAGAGAGAGGGAGAGAGAGAAAGAGAGAGAAGAACTCTATTAATTATTAGATGACACCGAATCCATTATCCGGGACGAGGAACGGACGGGCCGGGGTCCTCGAGGAATAGCCTCATTCAGATACCATTAGGGACCCACGGCCCTCGCGCCTTTTGTTCTTTCGCGGCTGCTTCCCCACCGTGCAAAACACGGTTAATTATCGGGACGGGAGGAAAGGAGCGCCACGTGGGCCGTGTCCTTCTTCTACCACCACCGATTTTCTTCCATTCACTCGATTCATTCAAACCATTCAAACCTTTCCCACATTTTTACAACTGTATCGCGCCAAAAGGCGGGGAGGAAGTTATTTTTATATCGTCCAAGAAGAATTTATGAAACATGTTGTTAAATGAAACGTTTCTGGATAAGTGTTGTACGAAAACAAGTTCTTTCTCAGACGATCTTCTCTCGAATATATATCGAGGAGCGAATTTGGTAATTTGGATATCGTAATTTTAAAGAATCATTCACTGATCGAGGCGCACACGAGATGGAATGAATTGGAACGGAAGGAGAGGAGGAGTGCCATTGGTGGACCCCAAAAAAATTTTTTATTTTTTCTCCCATTCGATCTTTCAAAGTCGAGATGATATTCCATACGATTTTGAAAAAGTATTTTTGCGATCGAAACGTTGGAACAACGAGGGACAAGATGATTTGTTTTATCGCGAGAGAGAGAGAGAAAGAGAGAGAGAGAGAAACGATTCGATTCGGTAGAAAGGGAAGAGGAAACGAAATTCTTGGGACAAGATTACCGACGCATTCAAGGAACTCGTCAAGGATATCCGCGGACGACTCGGTGCAATTTGATGACACTAATTGCTATCGTTAAGACTAACGACGAGCGGGGTAATCCGGTGAAATTTGGAAGAGGATTCGAATTCCCAATTTGATACGCCACTGCTACAGTTATATTTTCCATTCGAAGAAAAAAATATCTATTTAAACGTGTGCGTTTATAATAAGATCGTATAGCGAAAATATTCAAATAAATTCTTCGATTCTCTCCTCTCGTCAGTCTTAACCGATGAACCATAACAAAAATACGAAAGATCTTTCTTCTCTCGAGCCCACTTGACATTTTCGCCACGGACGCACGCTTGCCTTGTTAAACGAAAATATTATAACGTAATGTCATTTCCGAGCCTGTTCATCGAAGCGTGGACGTGTCTCGGTGAAACAATACGAATCGTGAAACCGATCGCGTTATCGTTACCGCCGATTCGATCAACTTGTCACGATGACAAGCGTAGAAAAAAAAGAAAAAAATAGGAAAGAGGAAAAAAAAAAAATAAATGACAGATTTCGCTAAATAAAATGTTGTCCCGGAGGGAGCCGATGAATGGAGACACGCGTTTACGTAACCGACTTTTGTTCCGGCGCATCGTGGGAAGAAAGCAACGTAAACCGTGCACTTTGCGCTGCAGACACTGCATTTGCAACGCGTTTTGAAACTCGAGAACGAAACCGATGCGACAATGCCGGCAATTAGAACGTAATTGTCCCTCGTTGTACCCGTTCTGACCGATTCCTCCAGTTTCCTATTTCGCGGACAGAATTCCGATAAAAATATGTGCCAGGGACTTTTGGGCAAATTTTATCGATTCTATCATCATGGATGTATCCGACACGATGAAAACGAAGAGAAAAATGGTTATCGATCGAAATAGAGTTGCAAACTTATTTTTCAAAGTAGAAGTAATTTTATCACGTGGATATGTAATAAATTTAAAGAGGAAATAAAGATTGTGTGGAACGTTCGTAAGACACGATTGAGAGTATAAATATAGGTATGTATGTATGTATGCAAACGTGGTACTTTGTTTTCTTCTTCTTCTTCTTCTTCTTCTTCTTCTTTTTCTTCGAGAGGTAAGATTGAAAAAGCGTTTTGTATGGAGTTGTAAGATGAGGGGATTGTTAATTTGAATTTTACTTTGTTGCGGCAATTAACTATCATCTTAATCAGCTTATTTGTAACTCCCATGGTAATTGGTTCCCATTAAATTTGAATTACAGTTGCTGGCCATTACTAAATTTGGACCACACGCTTTTCTCACAATGGTCGGTTACCATCTGACGATTATTTTAATTACGTTTACCACAACAACCGGTTATCACGGAACCATAGATCGTAACTCTCCTACTAATAATTAGTAATAGTTGCTTTATTTGATGGAAGGATCCTTCATGCGAATCCTTCGATCCGCTAATCAGATCTCGAGTAATAACCACTCTTCTCGATTATTCTGAAAATTCTATTTATCACGAACTCACAACCACGCACGTGTAATCCTTATACGTAGACTCGAGTCGACACAATTTTTCTCATTTTCTTCCGCTCCTCTTCCATTCCACGATATTTACAAATTTTATCGTAGATCTTACGATTAGAAGAATGATTATTCGAAAATGGAAAATTTCCTTTCTTTCCTACGATTCTTCCAGAGGAATAAACAAAGTTTCCTCGTGCCAATTAAATTTCCAATCTCCTCCATCCAATCTCTATCGAGTTTCCAGAAGAGTAGCGACACGACCACGACGGGCAAAGAATTTGAATTTCCCTCGGCTGGAGACGGCGATTTTCCATCCCTCTGTTATCGGCTCGCTTCGAATCGCATTTTCCAGAAGAGTGACGCGACCTTGGATAGGGATCAAACTTTCATCGAGAATTCTAAACTCTAATTCCAGCTAAGCTGCTTATACCAAGAAACGAATTTAAAAGCTACTTATACTATTACCAAGAAACTGTATCGCGCTTGGTTTCATAGGGAAGGACAAATGCGAGTCCCGGGTTTGATTAGAATTAAATAACACGAATCAAAGGTGGCACGATTGGACGGGTCGACACGCCATCCACTAATCCATCAGCTCAACGACGGATCTCTCCGTAGATTATACCTCTAACCCTCGACGTTGGCTAGCTTTTTCGACAAATACTCGATAGCATCCCCCCTTCCATCCCTTGAGATCGATTCGAGCGGAAACCATGGTAAAATAAACATCGGAACGATCTTATTAATCCTTCCAATTTTCACGATTTAGAAAGAAAATTCTTCCATCTTTGACGTTTTAATTTTAACGGATCTTGGCGGTTGACATCTTAATTTAAAAATTGATATTTCTTCGAAAATCGTTTTCAACGAGTTGAACCAAGATTCGTATCATATTCCTATGCGAAAATAATAATTACCAATTAGTATCCGCATTTTATTCATTAATAGAATGATTATTCATTGATAGAATGATCTTAACAACTAATAAAATCTGCGATTATATTTATACACATTATCATCTTCGCTATGTTAAATAGAGATTCAAGATAGAAGAAAGATTACCTATTTAACTGGATAATTGAATATTCACCAAAACAATTCCGACTTAAATTTCAATTGGAACGCCAATTTCATTCTCGAGGCGTTAAAAAAAGAGGAAACCATTTCCACGAAAAGTTCGCCATTTT